GGTCCGAGCTGGCGGAGGGGCGCTCGTCCTGGAGAGGCATCGCGTCCTGCGTGGGGGACCGGAGAGGCGCCGCCGCCCGTGAACCTCAGCGCGACCGCAACAGCCCACGCGTGCGTGCGTGCGTGCGTTTCTCCCCCCACCTGTCGACCGACCCCAAACCCCACTTTCAGGCTCCCTTATCTATGGAATCTATGGCCGGGAGAGCCGACACTTTCATCTCCGTGTGTTTCATCCCGTCGCGCAGGCCGCTGCTCAAGACCATCAGCAAGTCCGCTCGTTTATTTTGCCGGACCTGCCTCCACTGTGCCGTTTATAGCGCCGTTCACTGACCACAACGCTGCACATGAGCGGCGGCGGCTGCCTATGCGACAAAAACCGGAGCAGACGATGCTTATGTTTACTTCCGCCGCCGCCAGAACGCGCGTGGGGGGGCGTTCGTCACCCCGTGACCCCGGGAGTCACGCGGCCCCGCTGGAGCGGCTGCTCGGTGACCATGGCAACGGCCGGGACTCTGTAAACAAACCGGCGCTGCGGCCCGGCCGGGTCTCCCACACGAGATGTCAAGGCGGGGGGCCATGAAACACGTTAGCGAGCCGCCGGCAGCACGACGAGGCACAAGTCCTGACGTGTGGCTTCGCCCTGACCTTCGCCCTGACCTGACCGAGGCAGCCCGGAAAAAAATTTACCGCTTTTGGGACGATTCTGTGCTTCGGGACGAAACTAGCGACACGACAGATATCCATTACCTTCATAAGAACGCTGTCCTTCTTAGCGCAGCGTGAAGTATTGCCCGAGTTTCACAAAGTGCTGCCAGCGCTGGAGTGGGACACCATGGCGCAAACCAGAGGTCTCCATTTTAAAGAAAGATATACCCTACGTTTCAGTGATGCTACTAAATCCCCCCCCCACCACACACACACAATTTTTCTTTTTTAAATTGATTCCTTCGCGGTTCCGCGCAGGCAACTGAGGACGCTGCGTCTCGCTACATGCCAGTGAGCTCTTCAGACACAGCAGCGCGCAAGCCGGCCAGGTCTGCAGTTCGATCCCAGCACCATAACACGGGGTGGGATCTGATCCGATCTGCGCCTGAGGCTCCAGACGCACAGGATACTGCGGGACTCGCGCTTGTATATAGCGCACCCAGGCTGTACAGTATATAGGGCGTACAGG